CCAGCTATACTGGAAAATGTTTGTGTAATAACTTACCATGTTTTTTTTCAAGTTTTCTCTTTTTCTGGTGCAGATCAGAACGTTAACTGGATAGCTAAAGGTATAAGTACTTAGATATTCCTCTTCAGTTTAGCCAAAGCCTGCAGTCTCAAAAAGGTATTAAAAGAAGAAACAAATCCTTTGTTTTTAATGTAACCTGGTGTTTTTGTTGAAATGGATTTCTTATTAGACCAGGTTTTCTCATAGGTTTTAAACTTTGCTTCCAAGATGATATCACAGCAGGCAAACTACAAATGCTATTTAACGTGGCTATATTTGCCATGCCTGCCTCCAGTGTTCCCCTCAGAACAAGTCCATTATCATTTCAGTAGGAGATGTCAAAGCAGTCCAAGGAGTGGAAGTGAAAGCACATGTCTTACTGAATCTTACATTACCTACAGCAGTCTGGAATGCCTTTCATTTCAAGGGTTGAAGGTGTTCACCATCACCTTTGTGTTCATTCTCTGGGAGCAGTTTGATATCTGGAGTTTGAATCTGCTCGGTCTAAATGAACTATTTAGTCCAGGCATTCCATGCCCTGTGTCTGTGTGCCAGTTGCTCACTGGGCTGGATTATTCTCTGGGTGTTCTCTGGCTGTGCGTTAAAAACAGTTGACTGCTAAAGCATTTGGTGTGGAGCTCTGATTGAAGCCTATGTGGAAGGTAAATATTTCATTGATCCTCCAAGAAGTCTTGGATGGACAAATCCTTCATTTCTGCTGGGTGTAGACCTGCACAAGATTTTGAGACCTGCCCAAAGCTCAAGAATGAGTGACACAAAAGTATGTGCTTAAAACCCTGGGAAAACTTGAAAATAAAAAATGCATGGAGATGAGAGCTAAGGAGGTGTTTTCAAGGCTGGTAGATCAAAGTTGGAACATACATCTGTTACAGATGTCTCTCTGCTTTGAGATGTGTTTAATCAATGTGTTGTAAATATGTTAATCATATTAAAGAGAAGATGAAATTTATACCTTGCAATCTTGATATTCCTTAGTTTCCATGCATGATGATTATTTATTATTACATTTGCTTCTAAATGTCTGACTTAAGTATCCTATAAAGAAGCTTTCATTTACTAGTAGGGCTTGTCTGTTTGCAATTTCGTTTATTTTTCTTTTTATCTTTGTAACATTACCATTTCCCTCTCAAATGTAAATTGTGGTGAGGCTAAGAAGGTGATGAAGTCACATTTTAAGCCATTTACTCAGGTTTAGAAAGTCATCCTGAATTTACCTGATATGATGTGCTGCTCAGTAAGACTGAAGAGTAAACTTTTACTTGCATACTTACGAATTCTTCTGGCAATTTTAAGAAACCGATTTCTAAATATTTAAAAGAACATTCCTATGGCAGTGTGGACAAGTGGGATGACAAGAAATAGAAGGCTTGGGTTAGATTTTACAGATCTTGGGGTTGTTCTGTGACACTGGCATGTCCTGCTTGCTCTGGTGTTTTTCCTTTTTCCCCATTGTAAAACCAAAGTGTTTCCTGGCTACCATTACCGAGTACAAGTACTTGTTTAGTTTAGGTAACAGCCAGTACTTCCCTCTTTCACCTGAGTTAACAGTGTGGATGAGAAGAATCTTGTCATTGCATACAGTTGCATCATTTTGTTACATACAAGTCTGGAAAGAAAGATCCTTCCAAAGAGATGGTCAGCAGTGTTATGAATAAAAACATAGCCACTGAGAAGTATAACAAACTTATCCCCCTGTGTCATTATTTGGTCACTTGAAACCCATAATCCAGGGCACCAGAAGCCATTGACAGCATTCAAATAGTCAGCACAGTCTTCATGCCAACGATGAGGACCTGTCGGAACAACTTAAAGACACAAGTGTTTCTTTAAACTAGCAGTCAAGAAATTGAATTTCAGGTTTAAATTCCCATTTTTAAGGGTTAAAACTGATCTTCTATGCACTTGTAATTCAATTTTGCTTGAAAGAAACGGATCACCTCTAAATTGCACTGACAGCTTGTGCAGGAAGCAGCAAAATACCCTGCATGCTTGTAAATAGTTGTGTGCTAAGCCCATTTTGGCACCAACACTCATCAGAATGGATTTCTGAGCATCATCAAATTGCACTGAATATGAAGATTCAAATAATGAATATGCTATTGGGATATTCTGCTGAACACTTTGAAGGCTAAGCTAGGTATACGTTTTTTGTTTTCCTAAACTAATCTTTGGTTTGATATTTGCAGATGTAGTTTGTCACTCCCACATACTGTGCTAAAATGTAGTACCTATGATAAAAGTAACTAAAACATTAAGGTTCATGATGCCATCTCAGAATACAGTAAATGAAATGTGAAGCAACGAACACATAGTCAAACATCAGTGTAGTAACAGAATGTCATTTTCAAGATCGAGGTATTTATCAGGAGAAATCAAAACAAAACACATGACTGTGCTAGTTAAACAGGAAAACAATAAACTACTGTTTATTAAAAAAGCTGAATTAATCAGATTTATGCTTTCTCTTTAATAATTGAAAGCAACAAGTCTGAGAAGTCTTGTGTTCTCAAAGTGGTTAACTAGTCAGTAACGTGAGCTATAATACTCCCATTTTAAAAATGAACTTTTCAAGATGCTCTATAAAATTAAATTTTAATGAGTGGTAATAAACAATGATACTTTTCATAGGAGCAGATGCAGTACTAGCATGAAGCTTTTGCTGTGTGCCATCAGCTTCAGTACTGTGCTATGTGTTGTCTTTCGTTGTCTTCAGGTATGAAAAGTATGATGATACTACAACACTTTAAAGAAAGGAAAATACATATAATAGTATCCTTAGTATACTAGCTATTTCTTGGCTGGATAATGGTGTTCCTGTTGCTTTCACAATGCTTTTTCTGAGAAGTACTTATGGGTTTTTTTTAAATAGGACATTATGCCCTTTCAAAGTCCTTACATTTCCCTATTCAATTTTTACATTGAATAAGAGTTGGCTAGCTGAAGAATAATTTTGGATGAGCAGTATCAAAACATAGGTATGTACCTTTGAATTGTAGTGGCCTTTCCAAAAGAAAAAACTTATAAGATAGTGACCCTTCAAGGATTTAAACAAAAAAAATTGTTTCCTGAGGGACATGAAGAGAGAAGGGGGAAGCAAAGAGAGGGGAGGAGAAAGGAGTGGCAACTTGCATCATTAAACTGGTAAATGGTACTAGAATATCAGCCTCCCTACTATCAGCAATGATTGGAATGAATCCAGGAATTCAGAATGGGTCTGTAAATGTGTCTTCAATTGTAGCCTTTGGCATAGATTTATATTCTCAGTCCCTTGGGCACTGAATTTCATTTCCCCATTTGCTAAATGAGAACAATTTATCCTAAATCAACGATAATCAGAGTAAACACTATTATTAATTTATTGTTTCCAGACTAGAAAAAAACCAGTAAAATGAAGCTCTCTTCTTTTATCAGAGCTTTCCCTACCCCTTTTGCCCTGAGGATCCTATTAGCAGAAAGCTGAGCAACTCTGTTTCATCAGAAATAAATTATGCCTCACTTTTTTAATGTAACTACTGAAGGGTTGTAAAGATTAGACATACGTTTGAACCCACTATCACTTGATGTTATTTTCCTTGATGTTCTGAGCTTCTTTAGGGGAATGAAACAACATGTTCTTCTGAAAGCCAAGAGTAGAGTTTCTTTAAAAGAACACCACCACAGATTTTGGTTGATGTACAAAATAACTCAGGATCTGTACAGCAATATTTAAAGTAATGTATAGGCAGTCTGAAAGAGAGCTGTCATAATTCCTGGCATGTGCGAGAGGCAGAATGTTTGCAGGGCAAATAGGTGGCAGAACTAGTCACCCTCGTTTTTTAAATGATTAGAAAACTGTAATTCCCCAGAAACAGTAGGCTAATTCTCACTTTCTTCACAAAGGAGCTAAGGATGAAAAAACACCTTTAATTAATAAACACTGCTGGCACTACTTTGGTAACAAGCTGCTGTAAATGAAACTCTTAATTGCCTCAGAACAAAGTATTGTATACAAATTCGTGTTACTCTTTAAGTGCTGTTCTTTGTTGTTGCTGTTTGACATTTCTGTAGGAAATAGAAGTAGCTTTACCAACCTACTTGTCGCTGAAAGCAGTTCTTGTCAGATCTCCATTTGTGGGCATCACTGAGGTTAAAAAGTAACCCAAAACATTCCCTCATCATAGCTAGAATAGACAGCTCTCAGTGCAGTCTATATACAAGATAAATTAAGCTGTGTATGAAGCTTCTGTTAATGAAGTTTAAATTCTGCAATGAAATTGCATGATGAAAAAAAAATTTAAAAATAATAGCTTCTAAAATAAATATACTTTTAAAATGTATATGTATATTTAACATTTTGGCATAAACAATGAAAAAATATTTTGGGCTCCTCTATAAAGCTATGTAAATGCTTTTTCCCCCCCTGTGTTCAGACATTTTATGTTTTTTTTTATTTAATCTTCAAATTGACTTCTTTTAGTTGTAACTGTCAAAGACTCTGAGTTAGGCAGGAGCTGCATCTTCTACATTGGTGAAGAAAACACCAGAGAAAAATAACTGATATAAGAGTATTTTGAACAGCTACAGTCCTGATCCTTTGGTTTTTGAATTCCTTGAACTCTAATTTCCATTATTAGGAGGAGTAAAACCTGCAGATTGCATTAATTTGTGGAGCATTCCCTGCACTTTCCATAAGGAAAGACACAGGTCAATCTGTGCTTACGGACTGGAGAGACAATAAAGGGGATGGGAGAACAATTTTCTCACAGAGACCAGTTCAAATCTATTGCAGTGATTTAGGTTATGGGAAAACTTTTAGCAAGCTGTAGAACATTTTTCAGCATTTTTTCTTTTTACTATACCATCTCTAAATGCTTGTGAAAAGTGCTAAATTTGGGATACTTGCATCAACTTACACCTGACAGTGGCACCTAAAATAAGCATTTCTGCCTTCTTCTTTTTTAGAATTACTGAATGAGTGAATAGTCACCAGTTTTGAAGAGAGCAGAAGACTGGTAAGTAGTAACAGATGTCTTTTTTTAATCTAAAGTGCAGAATTGTGAAGGAAAAGATGTTTGAAATTGTTGTACTTGCTTGGTTTGATGGTCTAAACAGTTCATAAAAATTATTTTTGCTGCTTAGCATAATGCCTTCAGGGTGCACTCAGTGCACACACAGACATGAGGATTCTTGGTGTATTTTGTTGGGGGCTTTTTCAATCTGGAGATTGGTTTTAGGTGCAAAATGGATTATGAAGTTCAGCCTTTGCAGAAAGAGGCATTTACACTTGGTAATAACAGACTGATGCATCATTTTATAAGGGGATCAACAAGTATAAAGATGTAACACTATTGATTTTGTCCTAACTATTGGGTTGAAACTTGATTAAAAAAGAGAATAGAGCTTAAAGACACTTTCAGTTTAAATTTATTGGCTGAGATTATGAATGTTCTTCTGGCAGAGAAGACATCCTTGCCAGCCAAGAGATCCAGTAGCTCCTTGTTTGTGGATGTCACCCATTAACAGTATTTCCCAGTAATAGAACTTGATAGTGGAGATCTGGGATCCCAGGCAAATACCTCCCTTTAGGTGCTGTCTAATTGCTCTGAAGTCAGCACACAGATTCAAGGAGTACTGCTCATTTCTGTTCCAAATGAAGTGCTTTGTACAAAGTAGAGCAGATGTAGCCACTCTGAATTCCCACAACAGATGGAATAAGGAGCTCTATTGCAGAATATTCTGGAATGATTGAGTTATGACAGATTTGGCTTTAAATCCCTACTTTCAGGTAGGCAGAAAGAAGCTTAAAAATTCATTCTCCAATCGTCTAGAAGTAGCTTTCTGACCCTCAGTGTTACAAGGTGAGATGAGTGCACCCTAGTGTTGGATAGATTGCTGTTTGTACAAAATATGTAATATTTTCTAATAAGGAGAAAATAAATGACTGTGACTCTTCACACTCTGATGGTTAGAACACAAACCTTTGGAATATGAGAAAATAGATGAAAAACCATTGAGGTCAGAATATCATGACCTTTCTTTGCCTGTGGAAAACAGCTTGTTTGAAACACCAAGTGTGGGAACGTCCTTTCTTATGTTTATTATTCTATACCCAACCTTTGAAGTTCATATTTTTGTTCTTTTTTTTTTCCTAAAGCTTCTAAAACTTAATATGGTAGCGTGATAGCTCTTGGAAGCATGATCTGTCATATCCAAAAATTAATTAAAAGGAAAAGCCACACAAATGGATATCGAAAAGAACACATGAATATCTTATCAGAGATATCTTGGGTGCAATTTCAAGGTCAGCACAGACCATTGTGAGTCTGTGCTGCAGCCAGAATGGCAGCTTTGATTTCCTCACCTCTGACCCCATATTCCTTCTCCCTCCTTATCCTGGCAATTGCAAGGGAGCAGCAGCACAGTCAGAGGAAGAAAACACCACCAAAACCCCCAAATGGCTCCCCACACCCTTCCCAAGACAACTCTGGCATTCAGAAACCATAGGAACAATTTTTCTTTTCAGAGCAGGTTTGAGTGGGATGTTTCTGTGCAGTTTTGTGGTCAGTGCAGGGGGGAGCAGCAGATCCAACAGGAGTTTTTGGTACTCTGAGAGCAACTGGAGTCCACTGTGGAATTGCTTCTGAAATTGCTCTGAAGGAAAAAAAATCCAGAGAACTTCTCCATGAGTTAGAATAAATTTTGTATTATGGTATGTGTCAGTTCACAGAGTGATTCAGCTTCCTATAAGATACAATTGGAGTTTTCTCTTTAATCAGCAGTACGTACAACTGGTATAAACTGGGATCTCTCTTTGAGTGGCCCTTAGTAAGTACTGCAGATATCATTAGGTGCAATTTCACCCAATCAGTCATCTCTTAAGGTAAATTAATGTCATAAAAGTGGATTGAGGTTTCTAGTAATCCTCACACTGTTTGCAAGCAGAATTTAAAAAGGTACAGTTCAGATACTTTATTGACATTGAATTTGACTTGCACTTTGGACATTTGTTTGTCTGATACTTATGTTTAGGTACATTTACATAAAGTAAATTTAGTATTGTGATATTAATACAAATGCTTTTTCTGAACAAGTCCAGAAGCAGCACAAAACTCCAAGAACTGGGTATTTAAAAATAAATACTCAAGGTGATGATTACAAACTGCACACTGGTGCCTAGCAGGGAAAAGTTTGCAATCCAGAAAATGTGCAGAACCATTTATGTTATTCAAGGTCATCACAGTAAAGATAGCAAGTAAATTTGAGAGTTATCTTTAAGATTATTAGGAGTGCTGGAAAATCAAGCCCTGACATTATCTATATAAGGAATAAATATGGTTAAATGTGAGCCTAGACAGGTCTGTGATAGATAGCTCTTATTTAAGATAGTTTTTCGTTAAATAACTCTTCTGTTGATCCATGAATCAAAGATAAACTGAGAAAAAAAAAAAATATATATGTATATTACAGAATATTTACCATGAAAAGTAGAAATCTAAAAAAGAAGCATTCTGGGAACGATTAAAAGAAACATTCCAGGAATTATCTGCCTTACAAATTACTATGGTCTAAAGAAGTAGTTAAAGAATTCAGTCAAAATTAAAGGAAGAAAAAGGAAATATAATAATTTGTAAAGAAAACCCTTATTTTGTGAACACGTCTCTTATTGTGATATTTTTTTCCCAGTATAGTTACTGCCAGTATGCATATTTACCAACACACTATTTATTTATTTATTTTAATAATTAGTTGGCAAGATCCATTAAACTCCTGAGGAGTTTTGTCATCAAGAATTTTTAAATATAGGAGCCACAGCTGTTTACAGCTGAATCATTCACAATGTATATCAATCAAGTTTCAGTAAAATGGTGCTGATAAAATTGTAAACTGAAAGAATATTTCAGCTTAAAGAATGTGTTGGAGTAACTGAAACAAGGTGTAAAACAGGTAACACCTGTGATGAGTGTAAGTAGAATGGTTTCATTGTGTGCTGTTATGCATGACAGTAATAAATGCATGGAAAATAGTCCTTTTAAAGAACTGTGGCTGATAGTGCTTTTAATAGAGAGCATAAATGAAAAGTGATTAATAAAATATCCTTCAGTACAATTACAAATAAAAATAAGAGATGCGCTAAAAAACACAAAAAGAACATTGTCTGGAAGTCACAGACCGTACAGGAATGTCTTCCCACTCAATTTCTGAAAAGAGGGTTTCCATTAGTTATAGGATGTTAAATATCCAACAGAAGTGGTGCACTGTCCTTCTGCTGAAGAAGTTTCCCTGGAATAGGAAATGGATTTACAGTTTCAAAGAGAGGATGGGGTGTAGTGTGCATTTTTATGAGGTGCAGCCATTTAGATTTCCATAACCTCAGTTTGGAGATGTCACACTTTTTTGGTTCAAGTTGGGCAGCTGTTGGAATGCAAGTGCAAATGCAAGTTGAAGGGAAATCAGTATGTACCAGACAGAACAAATAAAGAATATTGGTAAAAAGAGGATGAAAACATGAGAATATATGGGTTTGGTTTTCAGTCCTTGCTCCTCAAAGTAATTTAAGGGAAATTTTAAGATAACCTGTGAATAAAGAATTCTTATTGTTGCCATGGCACCATTTCAGCAACAGTGTAGGAACTGCTGCTTGCTTCCTGAATGATACAACCAAAGTTATTTAGTGGAATATACGCAGAAAAAAAATTTCTATCCACAAGAATTTAATCTGTGTACAGACTACAGCTTTTATTGTTACCATACTGTGGAAAGTTTTGGAGTTGCATGGCTTATATGTGCCATGAAATGGTCTTAATGTTTTGGATTCTCCATCTTTAAGTAATGATCAAGCTTATATACTTCAGATTTAGAGGCTTTAAATACACAGGAATATTTTATAATGCTAAGGTAATTGAAACAACTTATTATTCACTCTTGATGTTGAAAAAAAAAAATTCTGTCATATCAAGAATTCTTTCCCACTAGCTGTTTTCATGCAAACTGGTTACTTCTAGTAGTTGATTTTTTTTTTTTTCTGTGTAAAAGCCAGAGTGGGGAATGGAGGACAGAAAGGAAAATGGGCTTTAAGGAAAAAGGATTGTATCCTTGCCAACTGCATCATGCATGACAAGGGCATGATAGCTCATCATGACAAGGAGTCAGAGAAAAGTGGAGTAATTTAATGTAATCATATGTTTAGAGAAATATAATAAGTAAAAGGACTAATGAATTCAGGTAACACAGATTTGTCTCCTGTGCTTGTCAGGGCCCTGGAACTGAATAAGCATCATTTTGCTGTGTGATAATAATACATCTTCTCCTTTATGCTTTCTGTCTTAACTATTTTAAACTCCACATTCATCAGGTCAAAAGCTAATGCATATTGTGTGTGTGAACAGTAACCTATTACAATGAGTGTATTTATCTTAGTTGCTTAAATAGCTCCAGTGCCATACACTCCTCATCATTGCTGGTGACTTCTGGCACTTGCAGTGTAACCACTACATAATAACAGCCAGAGAATTTGGTGTATATATAACCTAAATATGTCTTCTGTGTATCTGATAGCTGAGATTAATAGCGTGCTTTCCTTGGAAATAGTTTTGCTGAAACTATGCTATCATTTGAACACCATATTTGCATTCATATTATTTTCCATAATCTAAACATTTTCTACGGAAAGAGGGTGTGGGGAAGCTTTTTGTCAGTAACATTGAGTAGCATTGTTGAGAAATTCTCTTCCTATCCCAACTTCTCAGTAGAAAATAACTTTTTACATTGGGTCTAACGTTTTCAAAAATTCTCATAAAATTCAGTATTAAATATCAGAAAACTCAATCTGCCAGCTAAACAAGCTGTATAGCAGCTTAAAAATGTAAAGGTTACTTTAGAGTTTGGAGTATCAGCACAAGATCCAGATTCTTCAGTTAAGGACACAGTTTCTCTCAAAAGAATTCTCTCAAAACCTGTTTTTCAGAACAGTTCTAATACTTTGTCTGACAAGCAATGTAATGAGCAACCAAGT